TCTGGCGTCTTATATATATATATATATATATATATTGTAACGGCGGTGTGGTGAACCATTTTCTTGTCTGCCACACATATACACCCGCCTTTGACGTAAAATATAACGTTGGTGCAGTTTATTATTCGTTTATTGTGTCAAGCTTGACGAGAAACAGTGTGATTTCTGAACAGCATAAGAGGATAACATGCAGATAAGTTGTAGACTTTGTTTATCCATCCAACGATAAGACTTTCAACAAAAAAAAAAAAAAAAAGAAAAACCCCTAAAAAAACAAAAAAAAAAAAAAAAAAAAAAAAAAAACCACTTAAATTACAGAAAAAAAAATACAGAAATTACAGGTGGCAGTGGTAGGCGGGGTAATCTCCATCGAGTTAAAGGATGGTGCAGACAGGGTCGGGTTGACCGGTAAGACGACTCAGTTACAGCTTCATTAAGGCAGCGGTCCTCGACCTTTTTAGTGCCTCAACTCATTGATGTCACTGACCACGTCGTGGCCATGCAAGGAAACGATCTTTGAAGTTTAGACAGAAAAAAAAAAAGCATCCATAACCAAAGAATTTATTTATTTTTTTTTAGTTGTTAGATATAAATACAAATTATAGTAAATTATACAGAATTTATAAAAATGAAACTGCTGCTGTAAGCTGCTGAAACATAAAGAACGAAGCGGAGTCTGATTCGTTTTGTTTTTTTTTTCTTCGTTTTTTATTTTTTAATGTAGCCTGAGTGTAGTGACCATAAGAAAAGAGTCCGATCACTGTGTTAGTTAAATTTCGAAATGTAAGGTGTGCAAATAAGAAAAAATTGTACATTTTTGTACCCCTCCCCTCACCAAAGAAAAAACAAAACCCATCTCAAACTTCACAAGGTCTAAGTGGACCCCTGGCATGATACCAGTGTTTGCTTTAGAACAAACATCAGCTCGAACAACAACAATTTCGTACAATTTAGTTTTTTAACAAGTTGGTTTCGTACTAATTTCCGGATTGTTTTCAGGCGAAAACCGAGAGGTCGCGATCCACGGGCTGAGAACCTTAGGACTTAAGTGTCGAGTCGATAGGATCCGCGTTTCAAAATTCAAGTTTTTTTTGTTTTGTGTTTTTTTTTGTTGTTGTTGTTGTTGAGGCATGTAGGACTTTTGTTTTCACAACCCAAATACTCTCTTAGGATTTAATATGGCAACGGTAGCCAATATGGGTGTGTGTGTGGGGGGGGGGGCGGTGCGTCAGCTCCCCCTGGTACTATTATTTGTAAATGAATNTAGGGCTTATTGGGCCTTAATAAAGATCGGAATAAAGTTAGATACGGAATAGGATCATAGCTGAGTTAAGATTGATTCGCAAGAATGAAAGCTACACGAAATGGCTCCTGTCACTGAACATTAAAAAAAAGGCTGGTGTTGCGAATCATACTTTTACTTCAGTACATTTCCACTTTCTGTATCTTTTAGTGCTTCACATATCAAACAAATTCATAACCGTCTTAATGGATTTAATTAGTCGACATAAAGCTATTTGGTCAGTGACCTATTTTATGAGCTGCCCCCCCCCCTTAACCCTCTAGGGTTAAATCCTAGCCAGCCACTGTCTGGAAATAGTGCGCAGAGATGTCAACGAAAAAAAAAAACTATAAGAAATAAGTTGAAAACAATTATGAAATGACGAGTTCACTATAGGTATCTTATCTTTTTTTTTCCCCAAGGAATTTCAAATATAATATTTATTTGTACAAATATGATGCAAGCTTTTTGAAGACTTTTAATTCTTCCTAAGACAGTATAAGAACTTTTGGAGAGTATTTAGTATATTCATTTTGCTTCTGGTGTGTCATGGTTCCTCTTCAAAACCACCTTCCCTTCCCCAACGCCACGTGTTTTATAGTAATAGTACTCAGTGAAGAAAAACTCCCGTTAATAGGTTGCTATTCTCGTTGTAACGTGACTTTTTCGTTACAAAATGAAGGTTTAAATAGAACGTGGTGACAACGATTGACAGGCAAGATAAAAAGTTCATAGATACTCGGGATTAGCTTGCGAGCAGATGTTGAGGTAATCTTTTAAAAATCAATTCATCCGCCGAAACAAAATAGTTCCCGGTTGACATTCTCCCAAAAGTTAGCGTTTACTAGGATTCAGCATCGGCTGGGAATCATCGTGTAGCGATTTAAATATATGTTTACCGTGTACTTGATGACTTTACTGCGCCTTATTTTATATATATATATAATATATATATATATATATTTTTTTTTTTGGTGTGACGTCCTTAACATTAGAGATGATTCGTACAATTGAGCATCTCTGATCACGATTGTAATGCTGCTATAATTTTACTGCTATTATATTTCGTGTACTTGATTTTTTTTTTCATTTAACTAAAATTTAATTTGTTTTATAAATGTGTTATTTCTTTATATGTGTGTGAGTGTGGTTTATTATTTTCTATTTAAATGCCTCAGTGTGGTTAGGTTTAGCGTGGGTTGTTGTCAAAATCAACCATGTAATGATCTGTCCCGACTCTTGTCCTTCCTCCACCCACTTTTTAAATACGTCACACTTTCGAACTAAAAAAAAAAAAGACTAAGTTAAATTTAATTTTTTAAGAAGACATTTCACTGTTAAATTTATAAAAGGGACATCATCTCCTGTCACAATCAATCCATCACAATCAACCATCACAATCAACCCATCACAATCAGCCCATCACAATCAGCCCATCACAATCAGCCCATCACAATCAGCCCATCACAATCAACCCATCTCAATCAACCCATCACAATCAATGTCTGTTGCTGTTGTTTTTTTTTTCTATTTGAATTTGTTTTATTAAAAAAATGTCTTGATTCTTTTTCTTTTTAAATCCAAAATGTCGTATTAGTTCAAGAATGGGTAACTCATCAATGTCATGAGAAGGTAACTGCCTGTAAATGTTAGAGTTTTACTTTATCTTCTTATATGAAAGGGAGTGTGTGTGTGTGGGGGGGGGGTTAGAGATTGCAGGCGAATCATCTTTGTTATATATTTTTAAAAAAAATTATAGTGTTAATTGAAAAAGTTACTGTCCTTATATTTCATGTGATCATAGTTTTGCTTGATGGCCTAAGAGTTGCGCCAAAAAAAACCTACTCCCCAAAGTTTTTTTTTTTTCAAATGCCGCACAACTTTTTGTTTATATATGCNTCCATCCAGTAACACCTTCTTCTTTGCTTATGTATCTGCGCACTGGTCTGCAATTGAAAAAAAAAAAAGAAGAAGAAGAAGAAGAAAGTAGTCCCGGCTGATGGCTTGCTTCAAGTGCTGTGTACTGTGAGACCGTTTTTGATGCAACCGTCATGGTGTTGTGTATCCTGTTACTTAACACTTATTAAATACCAACTAACCAGAGGATTCCTTATCTTTTTTTCCCCGGAACTTAATGGTTAACTAGCGGAATGTTCCTGCAATAAAAGGTAGGCTTCAGCAAATTCATTGTTATACTATCAGCCCATTCTAATCCTTTAAATAAAATATGGTTTTTTAATACTGGTATTTACAATCAATTTTATTATGTTGTATTTTTTTTAAAATGTGTTTGTGCTTTGTATGTGGGGGCTTGCATCGTGTTTTACATCTACCATTGATTTTATAAGATAACTTAACTAATATACTATATAAGATTCGTTTATGTATCCAAATAAATGAAAATGAGTTTTGAAAAGCATACATTGTACAGTTTCGACTTGTGGATAAACATTCTGCTTAAGATAACAACTTTTAAACAAGAACAATTGAAACCCGAGACATTTTTTTTTTTTTTAAAAAGGCTGCCAGCAAATCCTGTGCCACAAAACTTCACTGCCATAATGAAAATGCTGACTATAAAAGTGATTATTTATTTTGTAACAGCCGGGGAATCACGCTGTTAAATTATGACAGACTGGGGGAACAAATACATTTTTAAAATATATTTCGTCCATAACCTTGATGGAAAGAATTCACCATCATTAAGCTGATTTTAAGTAACTTTCATGAAGGGGATTGGATGTAATCAAAGAACAACAAAAAAAATAGATTTAAAAATGTATTTTGCTTTTAAACAATTCTTTAAGCGAAGGTGTGACATTACTCGCTTTTTTTTTTTGATAAGTCTATTTAATGGGTGCATTGTAAGAGATGATTGATTCCCCACACCAGTCGGTAATACTGAGATTCAAGGGTTTAGACAGTTGCACTGTAGAATCTCTTATATATATTGTGCTTGTGGTGTGACTGCTTCCATTTCCAGATAGCGCGCAAAATATAATCCCCGATTAACTATGACAAAATATATTATTTTTTTTTTAAATAACGCAACTGCGTTTGGTGCGTAATATTTTCTTTCCTTTTCGGGAAATGCAATCGTCTCAATTTAAGTATGGTGTAATAAATATTCGGTTTAAAAGTGGTTGGGACATCAGAATATTAATATAGGTCACGGGCGTGAAATAAAAAGTGTGCAGTGACGTATCACGGGGGGCAGGGGTGACGCAAAAATTGGATTCTTAAATGTGCGTTACTCGAGTTCATATTTTTTTTTTCAAGTAATTTTAGTAGATGGGAAGTTCACGCATTGCTGTCGCCAATGTTTGGTGAGCTATAACTAGTATTTTTATAATTTTTTTGTTGTTGACTTCATATAACTTTAAAAAAATAAAGAATAGTCTTTGAGTGGCCTGTTAGATAGAATTCATACATTTTAGTTAGAGTTCGTACCTGTTCAGCTTATTAAGAATGTCGACATCTCTATATATGTTGCCTACTATATGTCGCCACCTGCCTGAGACTGCGATATTTCTTGTGAGATCTGCGATTCGGTGTATCTCGCTGAAAGGCCACTGTAAAATAATAATAATTTGGGGCCACCAGCTAAAGCAAAACGTGGCGACCACTCTAGTACCAAGTGCGTCATATCCCGTTGTGAGTGGTTCAAGTGCCTGATTCACATCTAGGCTGGTATTGGTGGTATTGTTGTTGTCCATTACGACAAAAGAGAGATTGTGCACAACAAGGCTGGTACTGTTGCTTTCATTACGACATTAGAAAGATTATTTTAAAATTACATTTCAAGATTAAGTTAGTAATTAGTAATTGTCATAATTATTTTGCATTTTTATCAAGACAATATTTTTTTAAGAAAAAAAAAGGTTTTATTAATCTTTGGAATTTACCAAGAGAAATTATCTTAATTATCCCTGTACATATTTTAATTAACTATGTACATATGTTAATTAACTCTGTACACAGCTTAATTAAGTCTGAACATATCTTAATTAACTGTACAGAAGTTAATTAGCTCTGTACACATCTTAATTAACTCTGTACTTACTGAATTGACGTTTAAAATTAAAATTAAATTAATTTCGCGCCAGTTATGTCCCTTGTTAATGAAGTACATGCCTTAGCTGTCATTTTTAGTCTGGTAAAAAAAATGCAAATCTTAGCTACTCTGTTTTATCTTGTAAAACAAGTGCATGTCTCACCTAAAATATTTTGTCTTTGTACACAAATGCTTGTCTTATGTATTGTCTTTTTAAACAAGCGCATGTCTTATGTCTCGTCTTGTTTAACAAGTGCATGTCTTATGTCTCGTCTTGTTTAACAAGTGCATGTCTTATGTCTCGTCTTGTTTAACAAGGGCGTGTCTTATGCCTTTTCTTGTCAAACAAGTGCATGACTTATGTCTTGTCTTGTTAAACAAGTGCGTGTCTTATGTCTTGTCTTGTTAAACAAGTGCGTGTCTTATGTCTTGTCTTGTTAAACAAGTGCGTGTCTTATGTCTTGTCTTGTTAAACAAGTGCGTGTCTTATGTCTTGTCTTGTTAAACAAGTGCATGTATTATGTCTTGTCTTGTTAAACAAGTGCGTGTCTTATGTCTTGTCTTGTTAAACAAGTGCGTGTCTTATGTCTTGTCTTGTTAAACAAGTGCGTGTCTTATGTCGTGTCTTGTTAAACAAGTACGTGTCTTATGTCGTGTCTTGTTTAACAAGTGCATGTCCTAGCTACAATGTTTTATTGCGCTAAGCTGAACGTGCAGCTATTTTAGATAACCAAATTAAATCACGTTTATTCCTATGTCCACATTCATTATGCTCTGGCTGCTCAGATTTTATTTAGCTCAAAACACTCAATTACATTGTTTAAAGTAAAGATGTTCATATTTAGTTGAATTCAGTCTAAGATCGATTCAAATTTTCAAATGCATCTGGAAAAATTTCAACAGTCTTTCTTAAATTTCAGAGTTTGATATTAACTTTTAAATGGTATCAAATACTATTACTGTGAAACACCAGTGCATTGTGGTAAACCAGTGGTCGGAAAATCGCGGCTATTTAGCGCCCTGACTGCGGCTTGGCCAGTCGCAGACAAATCGGTTTTGACTCCGAAAAACATAGTTCTTGACAGGTTTTTTGAAAAGAAATTTGGCTCTCAAAATTTTTTTTAATCGTCCTGCTGCTGATTTTTGGCTCTTTTGACTGATGAGTTTGCCGACCACTGACCTAACCTTCAAGTTTAAGAACAAGACCATCCCTGAAATTTAACAGCTAATCACTGAAATTTAAGAACTAGGCAGTTCCTGAAATCCAAGAACTAGGCAATCCATGGAGTTTAAGAACAAGACAATGCGTGAAATTTAATAGCATTTTTGGCCATCTAAAGAGAGTTGGTTTTTTGTTGGTTTTTTCTTGGAAAAGGGCGGCAAATATCTTGGCCTACCCTAGGTGGCCCTAACTAACCCTAGCTAATTCCACTGAAACAAGACGTACATTGTAGATAGCACCTATCAACATACGGCTCGGATTTTAATTGTTGTTTTTTTTTAATCACCAACAAATTTCACTTTCTCCAAAAAAAAATTTGGAGACACAAGCCTGTTTGACGTTGGAGGGCGTAGCCTATTTAGTTTCAATACTCTGTAGTCGAAATAGTACCTTCTCCTGACGCCAATAGTACCTTCTCCTGACCCCAATAGTACCTTCTCCTGACCCCAATAGTACCTTCTCCTGACGCCAATAGTACCTTCTCCTGACCCCAATAGTACCTTCTCCTGACCCCAATAGTACCTTCTCCTGACCCCGAGACCTAATTAAAGCTCTTATATCAGAGACATCGTTAGAATCATTGTATCCCTGTAGTTCAATAATTAGCGTACATGTCATACAATCATATTTATATTTCAAACAATAAGCTGTACATGTCATACACTCATATATATATTTCATGCAATCACATGTATATTTCATTTAACCATATGTATCTTTCCAACAATCATGTTTATCATATGCATATTATTATTATTATTATTTTTATTATTATTAAGGTGGCTTTAATTAGCGCAGTACCCCAGTCTATAATCATGGGTATATTTCATATAATCTTGTGCATTGTACATACAGTCATTTGTATAGTACATACAATCATGTTTATATTTGCATACAATCATGTGCATATTTCATACAATCATGTGCATATTTCATACAATCATATGCATATTTCATACAATCATGTGCATGTTTCATACAATCATGTGCATATTTCATACAACCATGTGTATATTTCATACAATCATAGACCTACTCATGTCATGTATAAATGCCGCAAATGTCTCATTTATGGTTTAAGAATGTCTCATTTATGGTGTAAGAATGTCTCATTTAATGGTGTAAGAATGTCTCATTTATGGTGTAAGAATGTCTCATTTAATGGTGTAAGAATGTCTCATTTATGGTGTAAGAATGTCTCATTTAATGGTGTAAGAATGTCTCATTTATGGTGTTAGAATGTCTCATTTAATGGTGTAGGAATGTCTCATTTATGGTGTAAGAATGTCTCATTTATGGTGTAAGAATGTCTCATTTAATGGTGTAAGAATGTCTCATTTATGGTGTAAGAATGTCTCATTTAATGGTGTAAGAATGTCTCATTTATGGTGTAAGAATGTCTCATTTAATGTTGTAAGAATGTCTCATTTATGGTGTAAGAATGTCTCATTTATGGTGTAAGATCCCTGTCCGTGATGTTTTGGCGGGAACGCCATGTTTCAAGGCGTGATTTCTTGACACTAAGGCTCACCTTTAATTCCAGCCATCGGCTGAACGCTTTTAGAAACTTAATATCACAGAAAGCATTGCCGATAATTGGTCATGGCGTGTGAACATATCCTGTTGCCAACATGTGCGGCTACCTGATTTTTGTGAAAGAGGTGGTCGTCGGATGTTGTCTATTTATAGTAAAACGCCCATGAATAATTCACGATATCAGACCAAAACATGTGTACGGTGTCACGTGAAACTTTAACCAGAATGTCTTTTAGTTGGGTGTTCACGGTGTATAACGGTAGCCGAACTGTAGCCACGCGCCGAATGGTTGAGTAGAGCAGGGGTCGGAACATCACGGCCTGCGGGCTAGATCCAGACCGCGGGCTCCTCCATGTCCGGCCGACTAGGAGCCCACTATATTAAATTAATAATATCGTGTTGTTGTTTTTTTTTTTTTTTTTTTTTTTACTAATTCAGTATCAACATAATTCAATACACTATCTGTGGGAAAGCAGTATTCATGCCCTTATCTACCTAAAAGAGTCATTAAGATTCAGCTTCTTGTGGGAATTTTTCAATGGAAAATTCTTATCTGTTAGTATAAATATAAGAATTCTGGAATTTTCGACCCAAATAAATTTGATAAATGTGGGCTTCGAAATGTAAGCCAATCAATAAGATTTAATGGGGGTGGCTTCATTCAATTCTCATGTCGTGAAATATTCGCACAAGAGCTTGTGCAAGGAGCGCATTCTGACTTCACACAGCAGTTTGTGCAAGGAGCGCATTCTGACTTGAGACAGCAGTTTGTGCAAGGAGCGCATTCTAACTTGAGACAGCAGTTTGTGCAAGGAGCGCATTCTGACTTAAGACAGCAGTTTGTGCAAGGAGCGCATTCTAACTTGAGACAGCTCCACGGATCTCTATGCCAGTGGCAAAAAAAATCTTCCACAACATGCTTTACTGAGTTGTTGGTGAGCTGCTGCCAGCTGAACTTCAAAATGAAGGGATCGATCTGACATCCAAACAGATGTTGAAAGACAGATACAAAGAACGGATACTGATAGACTTATGTAAGTGGCTCCCTTTTCTTATTTAAATAACTGTTCTGGAATTAATTTCGGCCATGACACTATCTACTTGTGCGCGGAGAAATTCTCACCAATGAAATATGTTATATATGGGTACAGTTAAGCCTTTACATGATGAGAACCTCACAAAGTTTCATGTCAGTACTGTGCCCCCAAACAATGGAATTATCTCCCATTACCCATCGGCAATATACCGACCACCCAAGCCTTCAAAACTACACTCAAGACACATCTCTTCAAACTCTACTATTCCGACTCATTCTCACCCCCCACCCCCTCTGACCGCTAAACAAAGTTCGATGCTGCTGGGTGCCGTCCACGTCTAGACAGGGCTAAATAGTACATGTGTGGGTGAGGTCAATTTTTTTTTTTTTTACAAGCTGTTTTCAAATGAATAATTTTATGTAAGTGTTTTTTTAATGTCATGTTGTTGTGTTGTTTTTTTTTTTGTTTTTTTTTTTTTTTTTTTTTTTTTTTTTTTTTTTTTTTCTAGTTTTTTTTTTATTTTTTTTTTTTTTTTTTTGTTTTTTTTTTTTTTTTTTTTTTTTTTTTTTTTTTTTTTGTTTTGTTTTTTTTTTGTTTTTTTTTTTGCTTATTTTTATGTGACGCGCGGTGAGCCTAGCCCTAGGCTGTGGTACCCGGCTATGTAAGACCACTTTAAAAATAATAATAATATTGATCCTGAACTAAATGTCATTGTGTCTGAACAGCGCCAGTTTTATACTACTCACTGGTGTGAAAAAAGAAGATTAGCTTTGCAATTATTTTTTTTCAATCTAATAATGCTTTATGTGGATTCTAAGCTAAATTGACGTAATATCTACATTATCATAAAAATACATTTTTTTTCCCTGCTTCATGTTACATTTCGACCCAAATAATACATATCTATCATTTTTTAAATATGCGTTTAACTGATTAATTATTTGAGAGATACTCTGATCATAAATGTTGGCCCACCTTGAATGTGCCTCGAACAATCTGCCCCCACCCCAAGGGGCCCAACGGGACCTTCTAGCCTTGCGTATGGATAATGGTGTAACTAATAAGTACGTATGGATTATGGTTGTAACTAACACACAACACTTACTATGGGATAATGGTTGTAACTAACACGTGCGTATGGATAATGGTGTAACTAACAAGTGCGTATGGATAATGGTTGTAACTAACACACAACACTTACTATGGGATAATGGTTGTAACTAACATGTGCGTATGGATAATGGTTGTAACTAACACGTGCGTATGGATAATGGTTGTAACTAACATGTGCGTATGGATAATGGTTGTAACTAACACGTGCGTATGGATAATGGTTGTAACTAACATGTGCGTATGGATAATGGTTGTAACTAACACGTGCGTATGGATAATGGTTGTAACTAACATGTGCGTATGGATAATGGTTGTAACTAACATGTGCGTATGGATAATGGTTGTAACTAACACGTGCGTATGGATAATGGTGTAACTAACAATGGCCATTGCAAAGCAGAAATTCTCCTAAAACAGTTTCAATCCGTCTTCACCAAGGTCTCCACCACAGTCATACCATCCCTAAAACCTCCACCTGGTACAATAGGTCCCCCCCCTCAACATAACTGAAACCGGAGTAGCAACACTTCTCAAAAACCTGAAGCCCAATAAAGCGCCCAGACCTGACAGTATCCCGAACATTGTCCAGAAGACCCTGGCTGACAACGTTGTCCCAACCATGCCCCATATTTTCCAAAAGTCGCTTGACTCCGGCAAACTCCCTCTAGACTGGCTTGATGCAAATATCAGTAGTGCCTACAAGAAAGGTGACCGTCATAACCCAGAAAACTACCGCCCAATATCCCTGACCTCCATTCCATGCAAAATCCTGGAACACATCATCTATCGCCACATCATGAGCCACCGTGAACACTACAACATTTTGACCAACCTAAATCACGGTTTCCGCTCCGAATTGTCAACGGAAACTCAATTACTCATCACCACCAATGACCTCCTAGCCTCCTATGACAAAGGCACCCAGGTCGACATGGCAATTCTCGACTTCTCCAAGGCTTTCGACACTGTTCCAAACAGCCTTCTTCTACATAAGCTCCACCACTACGGCATTACCGGCAACCTTCAACAATGCAAATCATGGAAAGCCACCGTAGACTCAAGAGATCCACAAGGCACAGTGCTGGGCTCCCTTCTCTTTCTCTGTCACATAAACGACCTACCCGATACAGTAAATTCTCAAGTGCGGCTGTTCGCCTACGACTGTCTTATCTACAGAGAGATAAACAGCAACGATGACCACAACCACCTCCAAACAGATTTGAAGTGCATTTTGAATTGGGTGGACAAATGGGGCATGAAATTTAATGAAACCAAATGCTACACTAGGACAATCTCAAGAAAGAAAAAAAATCAACTCATATTTACTCACTAAACGAGACAATCCTCCAACAAGTATCCAATATTCCATACCTTGGAATTCTCTTCTCAAATAACCTAAAATGGTCACCCCCATATAAACAAATTTTTTTTTAAAAAGCCAACTCCACCCTAGATTTCATCCGAAGAAATCTACGCCATTGCCCAACTTCCTGCAAACGGAATGCCTATCTCGCACTCTACTACTGGAATATGGTGCGATCATCTGGGTCCCACACCTTAAGCAAGACGTGGAAAAGATGGAGCGAATTCAACGTAACGCTGTGCGTTTTATCGCTAGCGACTACAAATCCACCACTCCTGGCTTCGTCACTGGCCTCTTAAAAAGATTTGATATCCCTCCCCTTAAAGACAGACGAGAGGGAGTCCGCCTGATATTCTTATATTATAAAGTGATCATGGGACTGGTGCAGGCCATCCCAGCAAGCACGTATTTCACCCCACAGAAGCCGGGTAGACTGATTAGAGCAAAACGCTCACTGAACACGGACTTCACCACTGACATTCCCATAAATAATTACACCAAAAACAATAGCAAATGCTTCAAAGTGTCTCAGTGCAACACAGGGCAGTATCAACAATCTTTCTTCCCACGCACAATAATAGCATGGAACAACCTGAACGATGCCACTGTGAACTCGACATCAGTCGAAAGCTTCAAGGCTGCCCTGGCATAAGAAAGGAGATGTTAGAATAGCAACATCATACCCCCAACCGTTGCAAAGATGCCAGTACATGGATGCAGCAACGAAACATTACCAGAACCAGAAACAGAACTTGCGTATGGATAATGGTTGTAACTAACATGTGCGTATGGATAATGGTGTAACTAACACTTGCTGGGGATATTGGTGTAATTAATACGTTTGTACTGATAATGGTGTAACTAACACTTGCGTGTGGACGAGTCCGCATAATTTGGAAGGCCTCAGACAGTGGGACATTGAAACAGTTACCTGTACATAGATCAACACTACACGTTTTTAAAATATTTCGCACAATGCATTTAGGAAATTATTTGTTACTCCGGACAATAGATCTGCAACCGGTTTGCCGCGGCCCACTAGGCCCACTAGTGAGCCGCTGCGAGATGCTTCCAGGTGTGGTGCGGCCCAATAGTGTGCTGCTGTGAGATGCTGCCAGGTTTTCCGCGGCCCACTAGTGTGCTGCTGCGAGATGCTGCCAGGTGTGGCGCGGCCCACTAGTGTGCTTCTGTGAGATGCTGCCAGGTTTTTGCCGCGGCCCACTAGTGCGCTGCTGTGAGATGCTGCCAGGTGTGGCGCGGCCCACTAGTGTGCTGCTGCGAGATGCTGCCAGGTGTGGCGTGGCGTCAGGGCGCCAAGCGGAGGAAAACCCTGGAGCTTAGTGTGAGCTCTTAAGTTTAATAAAATCGAGTCGATAAAATAGAACAGTGATTAGCTTATTAATCAAGCTGTTAAAATTGTTCAGTAAAATAATTCATCATATGCGCACAATTATAGGTATAAATTCGTTATGGATAGTAATACATATAAATTGAGAAGGAAATGAGTTTACAGAAGTTTAAAAATATATTATGTGTAAGTGTTGCCGCGAGCAAAATCAAGTTGAGAGCGCTGGTTTTCGCGGCCGTAAGACGTGAGGCGACCGTGTATTATTGCAGTATAAATTCAGGCGTATTTCATTGCAATGTATTAATGGTATTTGCAGTATAAATTCAACCGTATGATATTGCAATATAAAGATGATTTATGATTTTTTTAAACTTTTTTTTTTTTTTTTTTTTTTTTNACCTTACAAAACAATTTAACCCTTTGCTAAAACCATTTTTTTTTTCTGGTTTGCTATTGCTGCTGTAAACTCCTCAGCTTTTATTGTTTGTTTTTTTTTTCCTTTCATTCACAGACATCACCTTATTGATTTTTTTTTCTTCTGAAAATGTGTCCAAAAGTCGTCGCAGCGTTTGTGACATTTTTGGCAGTCACCGGCCTTCAAGCGCACCCATTTCAACCTGCAGCGTCTAAAGACGGCAACGGCGTCCCCACGCCGACCACCTCATTCCCAGACACCGACTTCGAGGAACTGCCGGTCGAATCCGAGGTGGACTACCCGTCCCAGTGGGGTGGGCCCCCGGGAAACCCCGACGAGCCTGGCGGCAGTCCCGTAGGACTTCACTTCAATTTCAACAACAACAACGACAACAACAACGACGGAGAAGTCGATGTCGTTGACTACGGCTTGGAGGTTCCGGTTTTCGGCGACTACCCGGCACCACTTCCGGGACAGATTGGTAATGGACAGTCCAACGGCGCAGAGGTCAGCGGCTTCTGCCATCCTGACTACTGTGTGATACTGAACCCATGCGGACCCTCAAAGACGTGTGTCATCACACAGGGGTGTAACCGCACCACTTGTGTGGATGGGAACGTTACGAGCCCCGGGACATCAGGTGAGACACTTCGTTGCTTCTGTTTGCTTAAATGTTTGCTTAAATACATTTAACAAATGTATGTTAAATACATTTATGAATATATATATATATATATATATATATATATATATATATAGAGAGAGAGAGAGAGAGAGAGAGAGAGATAGATATATATATATATATATGAGGGTGCTGTGTGAGGAGTCCCGAAAGGCGGATAACATTGATACAATGAAACATTCCGACAACTCCTGCGACGTCACTGGTGCCAAGCTGTATCATCCAATGATGTTCCCTTGGGTTACCCAGCGGCGTGGAGAGAGGCGACTTGCTCTTGGGAACCAGCTTATAATCCTTCAAGTATAATAATCCCAGGCTATGTGGATTTCGTCATACGAAGCCCACTCCATCGTCACATCGTGACGGACGGATGCCAGCAAAAAAAATATATATATATATATGTGATTATGTGTGTGAGAGTGTTTGTGTCTGTGTGTGTGAGAGAGTGAGTGTGTGAGTGAGTGTGTGAGTGTTTGTGTGCGAGTGCGAGTGAGTGTGGATGTGTGCGAGTGTGTGTGTGTTTGTGTGTGTGTTTGAGTGTATAAACTAAGAAGGGTTTAAAAAGTATTTACTGAGTGCTTTGAAATGTATTCCCTTTTTTTTCCGTTGAGGTGTTGGGGGGGGGGGCTTTCGTTTCAAGTTTTTAATCTTCTTTCTGATGAAGATTTCAGTGACTCGATCATTCCAATTCATACCCTTCAGGTCTTAAAAAATCCTTTTTATCTTGTGGAGATTGGTGGTGTGTATGCTATAGTACGTCCCCACAATCAATGACCGTGTGACTAAGCATTTATAAAACGATCTATAAATGTCTATCTAGGTATTTATATACAATCTATGACTGTCTGTCTAGGTATTTATACACAATCATTGACTGTCTGTCTAGGTATTGATACACAATCTATAAATGTTTGTCTAGGTATTGATACACAATCTATAAATGTTTGTCTAGGTATTTATAGTCACCATTAAATCCTAGAGTACTAACCACGAATCACTGCATTTATCAAGCAATCCATTTTTACATTTCTCAACAAAAGAAAGAAAAAAATAATAATAAAAATGAAAATAAAATTGTCTTTCCCACTGCGCTGAAGACTAGGGCCTACAAAAAAAATACAATAAAACAACTCCCTGGCATGTTGTGGAGAAATGATATAGTAAGATGGCCACCTAAGTTTCTGCTTTTTTTTTTTTTTGATATGCGCACACCATGCACGAGTGGGTATCACACTACCTTGAGATATCACGTGACCTAGAAATCCTATCTGAGACTGAGAGCGAAGTCGGACTTGCCAAAGAAATGCGAAAAAGGGTAGAAATATGTTATGAAACTAATCGACCTATATTTTATTCTGAAAATTTAGGGGTCGGTGCATTATTTTATTTCTTTACCCTTCACTAGGCACGGGGGAATCCCAAAATATAAGTAATGTATCCTCGTTCTCTGCGAGACAGAATCATGTACGACTTCCTAGTCAATTGTTTTCATTAAATTCCACATCACTGGACTCACCTGAACAGCTGATGGTGTAGCCGTTTACGCGATAAGCAATTCAATGAAAACTGATCACAACCTTCAAACGCCGGCGGTATCCAATAGTTTTACTGATAAACGAAGATAGTCCGTCCGTCGAAAGTAGATCATGACCATTTTAAGCACCGGCTCGTTGGCAGGTCTGACTCTGTCTGTGGGTGCGCAGATGGCTGACCAGGCACGCAATGCTCCTTTGCAGAAGGTGCAGGGGATGGATGGGACAACTCCGGGTACAAAGTTAGCTCTGTTGTTTTTTGTATTGCTTGCCCTCTTGTGTTCTGCAGCAAACTGTAGCCTGTTGCCTCATGAGTCGATTAATGGATTCGTCATTTAGGATGCTCTCAAAGTGCTGTTCTCAGAGTTCGATATTTTGGCTCTTTCTCAGTAATAAAATTATTCTCATCAGCACTCCAAAGTTGGGATCACCCTTAGGCCGTGGACTTCCTTAAGTATCGTGTCAGCACTGTCAGTCAACCATTTATCTTGTATTGGACGTAGTTTTTGCTGCACATATCTTCTTATGTTTTTGTATGCGTCTGTCCGTTGAATTGAATTCGGGTTCTTGCGATAGGAGTTGTGAAGACGGTGCTTTTTCCTCCAGCATCTGCTTAGTTACCATTCAGTTTTCATCGAACCAGTCCTGGTGTTGTTAATTTATTTATTTTTTTTATTTATTTTTTTTTGTTGTTGTTGTTTTTGTTTTTGGAGCTTGGTCCCAGAAACTCCACAGCGGTGCTTTATAACATCATTACTTTGAGTGTTGCCCAATACATTTCGACTTTGTGATTATCTAGAGTTGTGGATTTCAGACGTTCTTCCCGAGCATCCTCGGCAGTTTTTTATATTTTTTTTATAATTTTGTATAATAATAAATTTAAAGCGTTCGTGAATTAATTTAAACCCCTCACCTCACACACCCACACTCATACACACACACACACACACATCTCAAAGTAAAAGTTGGTAAGCCTTCATTCTTGTAGGAACTACATGTTATACCTTAAATTTCTCATGGGAACGATGAGATACCCATTTCTTTCTTGAGAGAACTACGGGGTTCACTTCCTTTCTAGTGAGAACTGCTGGGGAACACCTTCTTATGAGAACTACTGGATACCATTTCTTTCAAGTGAGAACTACTGGGAACGCCTTATTACTTATGAGAGCTGCATGGTACAGCTACTCTATTGTGAGAAACACTGAATGCAACTTTTTTATTGTGAAAATAAAATGAGTAAAACATTTTATTGTGAGAACGATTCAAATTACAAATAGAGAGCAACTCCTTCTTTAAAATAAATTCATTTGTAACATGAAGTACTGAAAAGACATTAGTACATGAGTTCATAATAGTGGTCTGCTTTCTTAATGTGTGGGTTGCAAGTTAATAGAAATAGAAAGATCTCACATCAAACCCGGAAACGAGTTTCAAAAATGTGAGATGTATCTAAATGTGAGAGTTTATAAATTATGTGACAGTTATCTAAATGTGAGAGTTATCTAAATGTGAGAGTTATCTAAATGTGAGGGTTATCTAAATGTGAGATTTATCTAAATGTGAGATTTATCTAAATGTTAGAGTTATCTAAATGTTAGAGTTATCTAAATGTTAGAGTTATCTAAATGTGAGAGTTATCTAAGTTATCTAAATGTGAGAGTTATCTAAATGTGAGAGTTATCTAAATGTGAGAGTTATCTAAATGTGAGAGTTATCTAAATGTGAGAGTTATCTAAATGTGAGGGTTATCTAAATGTGAGATTTATCTAAATGTGAGATTTATCTAAATGTTAGAGTTATCTAAATGTGAGAGTTATCTAAATGTGAGAATTATCTAAATGTGAGGGTTATCTAAATGTGAGGGTTATCTAAATGTGACGGTTATCTAAATGTGAGGGTTATCTAAATGTTAGAGTTATCTAAATGTGAGAGTTATCTAAATGTGAGAGTTATCTAAATGTGAGAGTTATCTAAATGTGAGAGTTATCTAAATGTTAGAGTTATCTAAATGTTAGAGTTATCTAAATGTTAGAGTTATCGAAATGTTAGAGTTATCTAAATGTTAGAGTTATCTAAATGTGAGAGTTATCTAAATGTGAGAGTTATCTAAATGTGAGAGTTATCTAAATGTGAGAGTTATCTAAATGTGAGAGTTATCTAAATGTGAGAGTTATCTAAATGTGAGAGTTATCTAAATGTGAGAGTTATCTAAATGAGAGAGTTATCTAAATGTTAGAGTTATCTAAATGTTAGAGTTATCTAAATGTTAGAGTTATCTAAATGTGAGAGTTATCTAAATGTGAGAGTTATCTAAATGTGAGAGTTATCTAAATGTGAGAGTTATCTAAATGTGAGAGTTATCTAAATGTGAGAGTTATCTAAATGTTAGAGTTATCTAAATGTTAGAGTTATCTAAATGTGAGAGTTATCTAAATGTGAGAGTTATCTAAATGTGAGAGTTATCTAAATGTGAGAGTTATCTAAATGTGAGAGTTATCTAAATGTGAGAATTATCTAAATGTGACGGTTATCTAAATGTTAGAGTTATCTAAATGTGAGAGTTATCTAAATGTGAGAATTATCTAAATGTGAGGGTTATCTAAATGTGAGGGTTATCTAAATGTGAGAGTTGTCTAAATGTGAGAGTTATCTAAATGTGAGAGTTATCTAAATGTGAGAGTTATCTAAATGTGAGAGTTATCTAAATGTTAGAGTTATCTAAGTGTTAGAGTTATCTAAATGTTAGAGTTATCTTAATGTGAGAGTTATCTAAATGTGAGAGTTATCTAAATGTTAGAGTTATCTTAATGTGAGAGTTATCTAAATGTGAGAGTTATCTAAATGTGAGAGTTATCTAAATGTTAGAGTTATCTAAATGTGAGAGTTATCTAAATGTGAGAGTTATCTAAATGTTAGAGTTATCTAAATGTGAGAGTTATCTAAATGTTAGAGTTATCTAAATGTGAGAGTTATCTAAATGTGAGAGTTATCTAAATGTGAGAGTTATCTAAATGTGAGAGTTATCTAAATGTGAGAGTTATCTAAATGTGAGAGTTATCTAAATGTGAGAGTTATCTAAATGAATGGAGGTATAATTTACACCCCCCCCCCCTTTTTTTTAAAAAATCTGCATATCTTTTTCTTTTCAGGTGAATTTATCAATTAGCTTATGATATCCCTTTTTTCTATAAATTTCGATATGTTGCATCAATGCGCTGTGGTTTATGTGGTGTATAAATCTTTTCATAAATAATTCATGCACATGGCATTTACCTCTTTTCCCTCATTGTTCACCCAGGCCCTACTGAAAATAAGGTTTTTCACCACTGTGCAGATCCACTAACGTGAGTATTTTTAAATTATTTTTTTTATTCTAATTATATAAATATACCAGCTTTTATTTTCAATTTTATCTCACACCACATATACCAATGTTATCTTCCTATCCCTTAGAGAGAAAAAATGAAAGAATTTTCTGTTCAATTGTTTCCCCTTATTAAGGATTGTACATATTTTTTAAAAACATGTGATTGAATTACCCTTTTTTTCCCCTTTCCATTTAAAGATATGGCAACCAATTTTTTTTTGGACATACTTCATGTACTCTGTTAAATAAAAAAATTCAATAACTTACTAATTTTTAAAAATATTTTAATATGAAATCAACCATGGAAGAAAGCTTTAGTTATGCACTGGTCCAATCCGGCAACCAACTATTCCAACTGTCTAATCATAATCCGCAGTTGCGATGATCTGACTTACTGCCCAGAGTTAATGACGTGCCGCTGTGAGGAAGGGTGGGCGGGAGCCAGCTGCATGTCCCCGTGCAATCTGTCGTGTGTCCACGGGGGATGCCAGATAGATGAAGACGCTTTACTCGAAAAAAATTTGATGTATTGCAACTGTGAAGCAGCCTGGACAGGTCCACTTTGTGATGTTCCAATGGTGGACCCTGTAGGTAGGTAGAACTGCAAACATGCACTGTGAATGTGTGAATAGGTAGAGCTGCGAGCATGCACTGTGAATGTGTGAATAGATAGAGCCGCAAATATGCTCTGTGAATGTGTGAATAGACAGAACTGCAAACATGCACTGTGAATGTGTGAATAGGTAGAGCTGCAAACATGCACTGTGAATGTGTGAATAGGTAGAGCTGCAAACATGCACTGTGAATGTTTGTAACTTTGCTTTAATGGATCATAGATATTTATTCTATTTTAGCAAAAATATCTGTTACAGCAAAACCATGCTATGAGACCTGAGACAATTTCTAAAATATTAGATAGGTGTAATGCATATCTTAGAATTAAATCAAAAGTGTTTTTTTTATTAGTGAAACTTCATAATTTGATTTTAATGAAATGATTTCTTAACATCGCCACAACCTACACTTCTCCTCAGCAAGAGAATCCAAAGCTCTGGCACAAGAAAAAAAGGCTAAAATTCTGTCAGTAGCTCTGTCTGTTGCAGTTGTGATAGTTGTCCTGTCCACCATCATCACACCAATTGTGTTATGGCATATGAGGGTTATTTTTGTACTTAAGCTGGTCTATTATTTCAAAGAGTATGAAGACGATGGTGAGTTAAATCTAAAATACTTTTAAATTGCTACTTACAGCTTATTTTTCTTTGTCACTATCACTAGCAAAATACCTGTTTTTCCCTACTGGGAAGGTTGTGTCCTTGAATTGACAGATTAAATAAAATGTGCATATTTTTGTGCACATTATCCTTATTGTAGTAATTGGATGTAGTGTGTCATAAGTAGTGAGACGTCTGCAATTATGAAGGATTTCTTTTCTTTCATTTTAGGTTGGATACATACATATATACATGTTATGTTTTTTGTTTTACCTAAGAAGGCATTTGCTAAAACGCATTTGTGTTCTGTATAAAAAAAATTAAAGCTAAACCTATATTGTTGAGTGTTTGATTATTTGAAGCCTGAACATTGTAAAAATTATCATAATTAAATAATCATTCCTAGGCCAAAGTGGGAAACCTGTTTCCAAAATAGCCACAGGTATGGCGAATGAAAAATAAAATTTGCCACATGATATATATAATCATGGAATACTACTATTAAATCAAATGAGAGTAAATACTGCAGAGGGAGGCACCTTTGCTAGTCTCCATTTCAATGAGTAATTAGTGATAGAACATAAAAAGGAAACAGCTGATAACGATTTGGAAAATTTGTAAAAGTCATAAATATATATATATATATATATATATATATATATATATATATATATATATATCACAACACTTCTTTATATATTTTAAAATATATACTGAAAAAAACTTTTTTTTATTATATATAAGAAAATAAAAAAAAAACAGATGATAAATATATATAAAATATATAAAAAACATATATATATATATATATATATATATATATATATATATATATATATATATGTATATATCACAACACTTCCTTTTATATTTTAAATTACATGCTGAAATAAACTTTTTTTTAACTTATATCCCTTAAATGAATTCAAGATATCATAGCTTTAAACTGTTATTCCTTAATTAACATTTTTTAGAAATGTCCTTACTTTTAAAATGTCATCGACGACACATTGAGAATGTCTTGTAAGTAATCTTGTCTCCAATCCCGTAGATGGCAAGTTGTATGATGCGTATGTGTCCTTGGCCTCAACTTCTCATGCGGAGAAGTTTGTGCATGCAGAGCTCTTGCCAAAACTAGAAAGTCTCGGATTCAAGCTGTACTTGCAGGCCAGGGATTGTCCAGCTGGCGAAGGTAGAGAGTTTAACATTGTATCATCCTCAGCAATTACCGCTCTAATTTGTTCCAGTTATAATTTTAAAGAACACACGGGAATAGACTTGAGAATTGGTTTTTAATTTTTATCCTTATGCTCACATTTTTTTTTAAAGTTAATATTTTTCAATTTAATATACAAGATCAATTTTTTTTTTTAAATAAGTGCGATCATTTTTTTGTGTGAGCAACTTTTGCATTTTACCCACTAAGGGTGTGGCTATATATAAGCTATTCTTATCTAAGAGATCATTAATAATTTCTTTTAATAAGATGCTTAATCTCACAAAATGATGCTTTTGTTTTGTTTCAATGCTTAAATGGTAAAACAAAAAATTTTAATTTTTTTTATAAGTCTGTAATGGGTAAAAAGAAAATGTTGAAGATTGCTGGCATTAGTCCATGGAGAAACTTTACCTTTCACTGTAATTTCCTTCATTTTATTTATTTTATTAATAAAGAGGCTGTAAATTTCAATGATTAATTTTTTTTTATGCTGGATTTTTCAGTTCTCAGTGAAACTATACTGACAGCTGTTGAGAAAAGTCGACGTACTATAATGGTGATAACACCTGACTATGTTGGCAATGAGTGGAGTAGATTTGAATATCTCATCGCCCAGCATGAAACTTTAAAGCTGAACCAGAGGATAATTCCCATCATTCTTGAGAAAATTGACCAGGTACCCTATTATTATTTTTTTCAATGTATGTCTTTTTTTGGATTTGATGGTGGATTTTATTACATTTTTCTCTAAAGTAAGAAACATAAAAAGATCATAACTTTGGTTCTTTTTCACATTTATTTGCAAATACATTTTTGTTGCACTATGTTAAACAAAGAATGTATCTTTTTCTTTCATTCAGTTCAAATGTGCATTTCAAAATCTTTCTTTGAAAATAAATAATCTTCTTTATTATTATTAATTTTTTTAACTTTTTTTTTTTTTGTTTATGGACAATCTCGTAATTTTTTTGTTAATCTTTTCTTCAACAGAAGGATTTAACAGTAAACAAGTCACTAAAACACATCTTACAATCTGTAAAATGCTTACAGTACCCACAGATGAAATCCATAAAAGATGCTAAGAGTGAAAATATAGCACATCACTCAAGCTGTTTAAGCGGTGAGAAGCCCAGCAATCTTAGCAGTATTAGTAATCCAATCACCAGTGTATCTAAGTCTAAGGAAACATTGGTGACTGATAAAAAAGAGGAGAAATTCTGGAAACGCTTGGAACTGACCATGCCAAAAAAGAAGAAGCAAAAGGTGTCTACAAATTTTGAGAAAGAGAATTTCAACAAATCGCTAATGTCATTCACAAACCCTGATAAAGGGAAGCCTAAATTAACTTTTTTCAATATTGCTGTCAGTGCAAATCACTCATCTTAAAAGGAATTTTGAAAAGGGGGGATAATTGATCATGTGACAGTACAAAGTACTCATAAAAAAAACAAAATTATTTGTTAATGCAGTTATATTGAACAAAATGTAGGAATATCTTTGTTATGTGTTCCTTATGTTTATCTGAATTTTTTTGTAAACGAATTATTTTGTTTAAGAATTTTGGAATGGGCAATTGAAAAGTGGATGTTTGTAAGTGATTCATTTGTGTATCCAGTCAAATACAAATCTGTAAATATTCATGTAACTCATTTTTTTTATTCTTATGAAATTAATTCCTGCAAGAGTAAGAGTGTTGGTGATATGTAGAGTTGCTGGAAATATTGTGGTGGGGGGAGGGGGGGGATAAATCTATAATTAAAAACCTTGATATTATGGTTGCCTCATGCTCAATTTAAAATGGAAGTTGAACTTGTTCACAAAATGATATTTTAAAATAACACCAAGTCCAAGTTTCTAAGTCATCTTTACAATATATTATATTCTTATACTGTTAAAAACTCCTTTACAAGTTAAAATATGTACAGTTATTTGTGGACTGTGGTGATTATTTTTAGTTTGCAGCACTGACAGAAAGCAAAGCTCCCAGTAGTGTCAAAACTATGGTTAATGTGGGCATCTGGTGCCATATCTGTAGGTTTTGGGAGATCCAGTGCAATAAGTTTAGTATTGAGCACCCAGTGCCATAACTACAGGATATTGGGCATTCAGTGCCATTGCTATTATAAAGCATATCCAGTTTCATGGCTTTAGTACATTTGGAATCAAGTAAAATAACTATAATTTACTGAGTATATTTATTTGATCAATTTTTTTTTTTTTTTTTACAGTGTTAATGTATACACCACTGACCAAAACTTTTATGTATGAAAGAAAATGATCTTCTGCAGGTTTGAAGATGCTTTTATCTCATGTATTACATTTTGTTTCTGTTGATGAAATGGCATTTGACTTATTTTTACCTCCTATATTTTTTACTCTTCAATATGATACCTCTGGAAATGTATTTACAAAATATTTTGTACCTTGTGCATGTTGAAAATAAAATGCATCATAATAACTTTTTTGTTCACATAAGCAAAAATATCATATAATGATTTTGTTTGTTATGTTAGATTTTAATGAAGACTCAACATGTTGTGTTGACTTAACATATCTAGGGTACCAGGTCGCTGGATAGGCTTGATCTGTTGGTGAATGAGCTGCATTATATCTTTTAATGAAAGCCTGTTTTCTCAGTCCATGACAGTGTATGTGAGCTAGTATGAAAAAAAATATGTCTTCTACCTTACAAAATTATTAGAGTCGAAATTGTTTTAAGTAATAACATATATACTATTATTAGAATAATGTTGCTGTTATTATTTTATTTGCCAACAATCATTTATTCGTCTATGAAAGATTTACTAGAAATCAAATAAATGTTTTGTTATCTTGCTTAATTTTTTTTTTTTAAATTGATTCAAAAGCTGTGTCCACACTGCAGATCTGTTGAAGCCACAAATCTAAGTGGTGAATTCATGTTGAGAATTCACTGACACATTTAACCTACATAAGTGTTTACAATGAGCAGGCACAACTATGGCAGCTAATGCAGAACTTTTGTTTATACTTATCAATTTTAAACAGTCAGCAACCCTACGGCTAAAAGTGGTTCTTTAAATAAATTTAATAAAATTCTTTTTAATATGATATTACAAATAATCACCCAAGCTATGGAAAATTAAAACGAACATTTTTTAAACAAAATATTGAGCTAATTCCATTTTTTATAAAAATATTATGTGATTGTTTCTGTACATTGCCACCCAACAATATAGTGTAACTCAACAAACTCATAAAAATAAAACTTGTTGGCCCCGTCTTTTTTTGTTGCAGCACAAGGTCACAGAAAGTTGAGAATCCAAGTAACAAATCTGCAGTGGGAACTTATCTTACATATTGAATGTTGTAAGATTATTTTATTTTATAACCAGTCTTTAAAACATTTGAAAGATGGTCATTTCTTTACTGAAAATCTGTATTAATTTGATGTAAACATTTACAATTTTTGCTTGTTAATCAAATATTTTCCTTGCTTAAGGTTATTTTCCAATAGCAATATACCATTCAATAAAATGATAATACTCTTCTATACAATTGTGTCATTTTTCTTCAGCAAAAGTCATAATACACATTTTTTAAACTCTTTCCAAAAGTAGAACTAAACAAATCTTTATTTTTAGCCATCTTCAACAAAGCTTGGAGTAATGAAGATTCACAACAATGGAGGGACATCAGGGTCATCCTGGAATCCTAAACTGTTAGGGCGCTCTTGTAAATTCTTCTTTATTGTGTGGCTGCCAAAAGGTGCAGCTAAAATCCTCTTTTCCTCATTGTCTGCAACAATTCTTGTAACATCAACAGTCTTCCTTGCATTGGAATCAACCTCCAGGAAATTGCTGCTTAACAAGGGAAAATTAATAATTAAATGAATTCTTGTAACTTCAACAGTCTTCCTTGCATTGGAATCAACCTCCAGGAAATTGCTGCTTAACAAGGGAAAATTAATAATTAAATTTTGAATAACTAACCAGGCTTATTAATTTCTCAAATTGGCCCCGCACTATTGTGCTAAAAGAACGTATATACATATATTTTTGCTGAATAAATCAGAAAAAAGGAATTACCAGTTCTTTAAACTTGATAAATAAAATTCTGTTAAATTATTTGTTATCAAACAAAATTTAAAATGGTAAGAGGAGGATATTTTTTTAAAATGTTTATAGATTATTATCATAAAGATATCATACACTTATATTAAAAAATGACTGCAATTAAACTTTAAAACATGGCTCTAAAATACCTTTTCTGACCATCCATCTTTGGGGCCTCTATTTCCTTGGATTTGTTATTGTCAGCTTTTTGTTGATTTGATTTCAGAACTGGTTTAATCTGGATTAGTAAAACACAAATGCCTTAAAGTTTTATCAGATTTCAACCAAACGAGAATCTACCGATAATGCTGTAATGCTGTAATGTGAGTCTTAATATTCCTGCTTGTTATTATTGTTCAACAGTTATTATATGGAGAAAATAATACTTTCACTATTAAAACTTTACAGTGAGACCTCTTTACCATGGCCTTAATTCTTTCTATGATGCACTTTAAAAAGAATAATATAATTCACACTGGTAAACTGGAGAAGTAAATGCAAGATTAAGTTAATAAACAAAACCATAGTGCAACCTTTGGCATTGTGATCAAGAGATGACCTGTTGTTTGTGACCGCTTGGCCACACTACTGTCACCATTCACTTCCTCTGGGAGACTCAGTTGTAATATCTGTCATGTTTGAGGTTTGTTTTTTTAAGGAAAAATACATCAAGTTATTAATGTAAGTATTTCACTTCCAAAAATATCAAAGCTTATTTTGTTTTGAAAATAAAATACAAATAGAAAAATGATTTACTTTTAAATTCATTGGTGAAGCCCATATAAAATCAATATTTTTTAAAATAATAATAATATCATTGTTAATGAATGCAGCTGAAAATGACCAGAAATCTGTAAACGAAATTGAGACTAAAAAAGAAAAAAAAATTGTTTCTAGCATTTTACACATATTATAAACAGCCATGTAAGTGACGTAGTTGACTTTGTCTTAAATTATTCCAACACCCAGAATTTCACTTAGACAAATTGTTGATCATTTCAAAGTTTACTTGCCCACCTTGCCTTTCAAGGTAACCCTTACAAAACTTGGCTGTACATCACAATCTACTAATGAAGTGTCCATATGTCTGAGAATGAGGATACAAAGAAATCTGACTTAGATAGCTTTACTGTAACTGTAATACTTTTGTTCTAAGCTTTAATATTGCAGGCACAAATCATATGTTTATGAGTTCAAATTCTAACAAAATTAACAAATTTTCCATAAATGTACTATTACTTGGATGAATTAATTATTACAGTACACCTCAAACACATTGACATGGACTCCTTGCAAAGCAAAATCAATTCTTTATTTGTTTCAGTATTGTATTTGAAATATCTCCAGAGCATTTAATGGTTAAGGATCGATTTTTAAATATTAAACAGCTTTCACACTGCACAGAATATTTTTTTTTAGAAATTACTCACTTAAAGACTCCAACATCTAGATAAACATTCTCATGATCTTCCGTAAGAGAAAAATCAACCCTAACAAGAAATGGGGGAATAAAATGATGTTGAAAACATATTTTTAAAAACCTGTTCAAAATCTGATCCATTATTTAATGGATTAATCTCTAGCTATATGTCCATATTGTCACTTATATTGTTTCAATGTCAAAATTACTTTTATACATTTAATCTAATGTGGAAAACAAATAGTAACTTTTTAATATCTTCCAACTTTATAGTTGACAAATCAACATTGAACACCTGACTACACAAAAAAGAAAATCAATGATCAAGATGTACCGGTAATCAAATTGTTTTCTGGTGAGACAATAATCTGTCAGCTAGACTAAATTAAAGACTAATAATTCAAACAAGGGCTTACTTTGGCTCATTAATATTAAAGGGGCGTCCATCATCTGCAAATAATTTCCTCTGAGGTTTTTCTTGTGCTCCATCCCTGAATAACAAAATTAAGGTTCATGAATGTGCTGAAACTGATGACCGTTCAACAAAATTTTAGTTCAATGCAAGAGTTTTGGGCTACATTTTCTGCTTCCCTTTAATATTAATTGTGCATTTATCCTTTTTTGGTTTGATTGGCATGGTTTATTTTCAAGGCTATGACATTTTTTAATACATATTTTATGGCTGAAATATGTGTAACACTGGCATTAAGGAAATTACTGAAAATCCCTTAGAGCCAGCAGTTAAAGACTGTGTGCACCCTTGTTTGATCAACACTGACAGAAAGCATCTTCTATTATGCGTTGTTGTTTTTAATTCATGTGAAATAAGTTTGTAAATATAGAAATTATGTTAAATTGGAAGAATATTATTTAATACTAAATGCTTCAAACTTTAAGTAAATATTTTTTGTATTCGGTATACAATGTGGTAAGAAAAAAAAAATCATTTCAAGTGAATTACTTCTTCTCTTCTTTTTCCTTGAGCTCCTTTAAATGGTTGTGCACTTCCAGCCTTGACTCTGGGGTGTATGATGTCTTCTGCTTCCAGAAGCTTGCAAAAGAAGAGATTTCAAGCATCTATTATAGTAATACAATCACTACTTCATTTTATTTCATAATTAATGACACATCTTTTTTTTTCTGTAACAACAAATTCATCAAAATAATAAGCAAGTAAGCATAAGTTTTTCATATTGCTCTTAAACATAATAGGGAAATTCTATCTACTCATTCTTAAATTTTGCAAATAAATTAATTTATATACCAATTAGTTATGTCATGGTCAAGCTGTTTTTCTTTTTAAATTAAAATGATTCCCTCTAATTCCTTCTAATGCTTCTCCTAATATTTGATTACGAAACTGACTCCAAAAGTGGACAATGTTGGATTTTAAAAATTGATATAATAAACCTAAAGATGTTTTATCTCTTACTCGTCAACTTTTTCTTCATGAGACTTTTCCTTTTTGTCATTCTCTTCATTTAAGTCTTCACTTGGCCTGTCTCTGGGGGGAGGCAAAAAATTAATTCTATTTTCTATTATTTTCAATCCAAGTTTTTGAGATTCATGGTAAGAAATTTTACCATGTTCCCTAATTATTTTCTTTTTTTTAGTTAACTATTTTATTTATATTAATTTTAATACAGTATAGGCACTGAAAAGATGCCATGAGACTCCATTGGAAAGTACTTCAAGTAAGAATGATTTCCCAGGAGAGTTTTAAATTTTTAAAAAAGGTTTCTACAGTAAAATGAATACCCGTACCGTTTATTTATATCTGTGTACCAGCGACCATCAAATCCAGGTTTATTTTCCTTATTGCTGCAGTCACTTTCAACAATAACCTGACCATCTTTTTCTTTGACCTTCAGAAGAGCTTCAGCTTTTTCTTTAGCCTGAAAACAGTCCAAATAATAATAATACATACAACTCATTGTTTAAAGGTTTCCCAATAGCTTTTCTTTTGAAATATTTAAGTTTCTACAATGCATAGTTTAATCCCTAATAAATCATGATGACCACAGTATTGTGACAACCTTTTTAACGATTTAATCAAGTTGAGCATTAGAGACCATCCGAATTTCGGATTCGGTTTCGGAGCAGAAATTTGCCATTAATTATTTTGATCACCTTTGGCATGGTTTCAGTTTTGACTGAAACAGAAAAGTTAACTTTCAGTTTATTTTCAGTTTCAGTCAAAACAGATGAGTTAATGTTCAGTTTATTTTTAGTTTCGGCCGAAACATAAAATTACGTAATAAATGGACAGGGGTGTGGGAGGGGTGTGAAAAAATATTGGTTTTATTGCATATGTTTTATATGAATGTCTCAGCTTCCAACTCTGTCATTCAAATTTGGCTACATTAATGGAATATCATTGGCGCTCCTTTTTCAAAACTACGTTGTTTTTTTAATGCATTCTCAACAGCTTGGCATAACAGCGTTAGATTTTTTACATATTCAATCATATCTAGAAAGTGGCATTTGAAATATATTTTTAGAAGTACAATTTTAATACCCAGTTTTGTTCCATCATTTCTCTTCCTTTCTCCCAATGCAGCCTCCCAGTAGTTTTAGACCACAATATGTTAACGGATAATAAAATAAGCCTCCTAGGTTACATGCAGGGGTGGGCAACCCCGGAGCCCAACAAGTTAAATGGTGTGCCCCCCCCCCCCCCCCCTAACCCAGCTGTATTTATTTCTTCATTCAAATAGTGATTATTTTAATTTGTGGCATAAATGCACATTTTTCATATAGTAAATCTATACAATGTTTTTGTTGCTGATATGCACCATTTCGGTGTTCCTGCCCTCCATTTTGGACTGACAGATTAAAAATGGATTGAAATAAGTAATCAATTATTTTAAAAAACTACTATTTAATAACTACTAAAATAAAATGGATTTATGTAAACAAAGCTAGGTAAGGGGGAGTTAATTTTTCACAAGCATTAAGATTAAATCTAGAATGATGCAAAACTAATTCAGGTATATGCAAAAGTGCATAGCTTTCATTTTGAAATTATAAAAACATTCTGGGCAAGGGGGCTCAGCCCCCCCTCCTCAAACCGAATTTTGTTCGGGTGACTTCAACAGGGGTCCTCATTTTCCCCACTCCCCACCACATCTTCATCTATCAAAGTGGCAAATAAGGGGCACATTTTTATTTGCAATGATGCACTGTACATTATTATATATAAATGTCATTCATCTACTTTGATAATTTACCTTTATTAGGCATGTGATGCGAATAGTCATTGTATACCTCATACTGTATGCTACTGTCTGTATATTTATTTACTATTACAATACCGTATTGTACAATTTTGAGATGGTCAAGTACTATTCTAAGACTATATTGTACTATATTGGGAGTTCCAGTGTAACCAGGTCTACCACTGTATTATCATACTAAATGTAGTTCAACATTCATTCGACTGTTGTTTAATCTGGGTCAAATATAAAATTAGTTGATAAATAATAATTGCACATAAATGGAAAGACCTAGGCTTAGATGGAACATGATGTGGAAAATGATCTACAGCAGCAAGGAATCCAAGCATGGAAAATAAAAGCATCAGTTGGGTCTGAGTGGAAGGATTTAGAGAGGCAGGCCAAAGCCTTTTGTTACAGTCACAGGGATGGATGGATCAACAAACAATTTAAATGTTGAACAATAAGAAATCAAGTTTCAACAAAAATGTTTAGCAGAACAAAGAGTTCCTTCAAGGCTTAAGTCTGAACATTTGAATGGGCCATGCCAATAAAAAATACATAGGCTAAGCTTTCTATCAATAACCTAATTATATGATTAGGTAGCATTGTAATTATATTGCAAAAGCAAAGAGAACCAAAGGTTTTATTTTGCATGAATTTTGCCCCCCCCCCCCGCAATTAAAATTTTATCTCACCATGTTATTTTAAAATACATTTTCTAAACTTAAAATTAATTTTTAATTCAAATGTCAAAAACCAAAGTATTTATTGGACGTTCATCTATTATAATTCACGATGATCTAATTTTTGATAAAAGGAATATAAATATTGATTCTTCCCTCCATCAGCTTTGATTTACACCAAACGTATGCGCGAACGAGTTTTGAAATATGTAGTTCTTTCAGTTTCAGGTGAAAGTCTCATCAAGCTTTTGGTTTTGGCTGCGGCTGAAAGTCATTTTTAACTTTTGGTCTGGTTTCGGTTTTGGCCAAAATCAGAAAATCACTTTCGGTCTATCTATTGAGCATGGATCAATAAAACTTGCATTGAAAGAAGTTAAATAAATAAACAAGATTTACTAACATATTGTAGAGTTTTTCTATAGAAACAGAAAATTAAAAAAACTAGTTCTTGGCGAGTCATAAAAATTATATTACAACAGAGATTAGAATGGTGCTTGATCATTAGCTATTGCAGATTTAAGTTAGCAGACAATCAGTTTTAATTGACAATGCTGAATCAAAAAGTATGAATTTAATTTGCCTGAAGACATGTTCATTAAACTTACTCTTTTCTTCTTGTATCTCTCTTGCTGTTGTAATATACTACCTCTGATGAAAGGCAGATTCTGTAGAAAGAATATTTAAAATAAATTTTTGACAGGGAATCATGCTTTAAAGGGTTGTTTTGTTCTTTTTAAAATCATCCTATTTGTTATTAATCCATTTTTTTCTTTTAATTTCATTTCATGATTTGTGAGGGTTTTTAAACGAAATTGAAATACCTGAATGGCTTTAATCCTCTCAGACTTCTCTATTTCCACTCCATCAAGCCACTAAAATAAAAAGTTCATTTCGATATAAATCTTTTTAAGGGGAATGGAGCTGTTAAATATAAGTTTAAGTACCTAAACTTTATGGTGATACTCTCAGTATTGATACTTGTATGCACATTTGACATTAAGTATAAAAAATGATTTTGGCAAAAATTCAAAACTCTTCTGAATAGGCATAGGTTGAGCTGAATCAGTTACGTGACAGCCCACGATCAACAGTTCATAGATATAATTTTTATTCCACATCAGCATTCTATTGTTTTAATGAGAATGGTCTTCTATGCTTGGATAGGATCATTAAATGAACAGCTAAGAAAAAATAATATGGTGTAATATGTTCTTTGGCAATGCAATAATTCTGTGCAATAATGTCTTATAAATATCTCTTATATAAAAAAAATTATATATGCCTAAGTATTCTACAAAGCTCACATTTACTCTCACACTGCCAGTATCATTTTAATTTCTAATTGAAAATCTTAATGAATACAGATTTACTTAATTCCCCGGAGCCTATTTATAACTATTTTGTTTATATTTTACCTGTAGCTGAGGTAAAGTAGCTATCACAAACTCTCTGTAATGCTCATAATCTGAACATGGATTTCCAGTCAAAAATCTGAGGTTGAAAAAAAAAAAGAAGCAATAAAACCATTAGAATAATAGGGCTTAACGGGGAGGGGGGGGGGGGGGTGGAGGTTTACACTGGGTCAGTGTATTTTGAGAAATAGGTCTATAAGACGTTCTTACACCCTACCTCCCGGCATTTGAACAATAGGCCTACAGACAGTCCTAAACCCTACCTGCCAGCTTTTAAAAAATAGTCCTACAGAGAGTCCTACACCATATCTGTGGTTCTTTATTGATTAATGTAAAGTTGCCTCTGAAAAAAATCAACCTTTTTAACGGAGTTTAACCGTCACACATGGCGCTCACTGCTTGACAGCTTTTATTCTTTTTTCACTCAATACAATAAGTATAATATATGTCGAGTAGGGGGACGGCCAGTTGTTAAAAGGAAGCAGCCACACAAGAAGCAAATTATATATCAAATACAACAACCATAGGAATAATGATATTTACAGCTCTCTGAAATTGTATAAGTCTTTTAAAGACTCTATAGATGTCAGTTCTCCTACAAAGTTAACAGTGAGGTCCAACTTTTTCAAGGATTCACAACCTGAAATACAATAAAATAATATAGTATAACTATAATCATGAAACAATATTATAGCATTATATAAAGATCCTGTCCAACTAGCTATTTCCATTTATATATAACAACTGTAGAAACAGTCCTCATAAATTGAAAGTAAAAAAAAGACAATAATAAACTAAAAATATTTGTTTAGGGAAGGAATTTGTTTTGAAATTGTTTCCCTTACCTTCAAGATTTTCAATTATTTCAACATTGTTTAAGGCCAAATTTAAATATTCCAGCTTCTTGAGGCGTCCAACATTTTCTGTATAATAAAAATTATTATTTATATCATTGTAAATTCATAATATGACATTTAAGGTAATTTCTTGGAAAATTAAATCTAATATTAATATGTAAGTAGTCATGCATTATAATTTCAAAAAATGTGAAGATCACAAATAATTCCTGGGGTCAAACATAAATTTAAAAATTTAAATTTAAATGGAGAGCAGTAATGACAAAGATGACACCAATAGTGAAATGTCAGAAGGCCTTGTAATAAACTCCTTTCTTTCAAGATTCATTTATACATAATTTTAAAGACAATACGTGAGAATATGACCTTGTGACCTACATCCCCCTACAAATTTCAATGGCCTTGTTTGATTTCTTTTTCACCAGATTTCAACATTAACATAGATTTTAAGGTAAGTCTATTGAGCTTTTGAGTTTAAATCCCAAACATGTGACCAGTGTAAATATTTCCCTAATAAGATTTAATTGTTAGCTTGAATGTGCCCAACGTAATTATACCTTTTTTAGACTTTAAATGTCTCCTTAACTAGTAAAAAAAAAAGTGCAGGGGATGGTTACAGAGACATATTATTTAGCATCTCACCGATTTTAGGAATAAGATTGCTTTGAAGGTATAGTATCTTTAAGTCTCTGCACCACTTGTCTAAATATTCTAGCCTGGGAGAAAATTGAAAGAATTTTTTTTAGTTTGATAACAACTTACAATTACTGCATGTAATATATTTTATTAGTAACAGAGAATTGTTTTGTTTATATATATATATATATATATACTTAGGGCAAAGCCCCTTATCAGCACAAGCAACAAACTTAGGATTAATAATTAATTAACTCAATGGGTATCAACAATCTCAATCTGAACAAATTGACATTTGATAATTTTTAGCATATGTAAATCAGCACTCATTGGCATTAAAAAATAAGTAACCCTTATCTTTTAAATCACAAAAAAACATAAATGTTATTTTCATTATTAATGTCTTTGCAATATCATCATCGTTTTCCTTCAGTCTCTCGCCAGTATTTATAGTTCTTCTCATCCAGCACACTGTGCCTCCATGTTCTATTGAGTCTTCCTCTGAATCGGTTGCCCGGGGGGGGGGGTTCACTCTAGGAACTGTCTAGCTCTGTTGTTGGTGTCTTTCCTGGGTACATGTTGTATCCATCTCCATTTTCTTTCCAGGATTTCTTTCTCTATTACTTTTTCTCCACATATTTCACACAACTTGATGTTTTCTATCCACACATCTACCCCAACCCACACATCTACCCCAACTTGATGTTTTCAGTCCACACATCTCCCACAACTTGATGTTTTCAGTCCACACATCTCCCACAACTTAATGTTTGCTGTCCACACATCTCCCACAACTTGATGTTTTCTGTCCATGCTTCTCCCACAACTTGATGTTTTCTGTCCACACATCTCCCACAACTTGATGTTTTCTGTCCACACATCTCCCAAAACTTGATGTTTTTAACCTTATTGTAACATTATATTAAATATGTTTCTCAGGCATATGTTTATGAAGGTCTGGGTTCTGTTTGTTGTACTTTTATGTTGTTCTTTATGTTTCAGACCCATACAAAAGGACTGCTTTCAGATTTTATGGTAAAGATGTAGGATGATTTCAAGACTGATTTTAGTTGGGCAAATGCCTGTCATGCTAAATTTATTCTGCATTTTATGTCTTTGTCTGTTGCTTCAGACACATTAACCACACCCCCAAGGTAAATGAAGATATCTACTGCATCTATGTTTTGTTTCTCTATTTTTATATTGCCATAATATTGTTTGTGGTTTATTTTTAGTATTTTTATTTTTTGGTGGTTTATTTTAAGCCCACTCTTTTCCCAGAATTATTCAAAGCTATGCTATTCTCTTGCATGTCTTGTACTCTTTGACATAGCATGGCTATATTGTCTGCAAATTTCAAGTCTTCTAATTTTTATGTTAGAGTCCACTGGATACCTTTTCCTAAATTTGCGTAGTCTACTTTTGTGAGGAGGAATAGTAGTGGCAAAAGAAGACAACCTTGCTTTACTCCAGTTGTAACAAGAAATTCCTCGGACAGTCTGCCATTATGTACCACATGGCAGGTAACATCATCATAAAGGTTTTTGATGATGGTTATTACATTCACATTCTTTACATCTTTCAAGTTGGTCGTCTATGGGAGAAAGTGGTTCATCTTGTTTGTCCCGTACTTGTACGTTGTAGTTAGCTTACTTGCCACACAAGAGTTTAGTGATTTTATAAAACTGTTTGGTATCTCCATTTCCTGCTGCTTCTTCTGCTTGTTCAACTAGATTATTACAAAGTGTTTGCTTATCATTTCTAAGCATTTTCGTCAGCTCTTTTGAAACTGAGTGATATTCTTGTTTGGTTTGTTGTTTATGTTTTCTTGTTTCGGCTTGGTTTACTGTTTGCTTTAATTTTTTTCTATCTTCAATTATTAGCTATTTGCCTCCTTATAAAAAAAAATATGTCGCTATGTTTTCCAATAAATTGTAATGGTTGCAATATTGTCCACTGATAACTCTTTTGTTTGTGTAATTGCCATGGGAATTAACAGTAACTGTGAATCAAATTTTAAAAACAATAAGCAATAAGGTATTTATTATTTCTAAAAAAGTTCATTTTTAAACAAAACATCATAAAAATAAATGTATTTAAAATTCTTCTAACCTCTCTATATCTTGCTGATGCAATGAAATTTCCTCTAGAGTTGAAATCTGGCATTCATTGTGTTCTGCTCTTTTGCGAACTAGATCTTCAGTTACTGTAAATTTGTATATAAAAAGTAACCACTTTAAAACATTTAGTACTTGCACATTCATAATGAATTGGAATTACCAGACCATTAAATTTTTTATTTAATGAACAATAGGTACGATAAAACCCACATAGATATGATTCGTTCAATTTTATTTACCCTGTCTGTAGATAAAGAAATAATAAAATAAAATAGTGTCGGGCCTATCCTTTTCAATGTCAATCTTCTAGGTGTAAATGATTAAACAACAAGATTTCCCACAATAGTTAGATCCAACATTCGATTACCCTCGGTTCAGTATAGCCAGTATAGTACGTATACTCTACAGTTCCCTACAAATTTTCAATACTGTCAATGACAAAATACTGCAGATACTGAGATAGTCAAATAGTAGTTAGTATGACATAGTTATTTATCATAAATCATAGTAATAGTATTAGTCTTATTAGCATAACAACTAGTATCAGAATGGTATATTTAAAACACATCGTGACATATTCATCATCATCATCATGTCCCTTAGTCCTTGGACCGTTGGGGTGCCACATATGACATGTGACCTATCCTCCTCCATTTGTCTCTGTCTTCTGCACTACGCACAGCAACGCCCAGTGTTAGTCCTGTCAACTCTTTGATGTTATCCTCCCATCTTTTTTTTTGTCTTCTTCTTCTTCTCCCTCCTCTTGTGGTGCCCTGCAATATTTCTTTGTCAAGCCCTTGTTTCCTTGTTACGTGTCCGTAACATACCATTGTAGTTTGCGTTTTTTCACAGTCACCAGTAGGTCATCGTACTCCCCAATTGCCTGGCGAACCCTTTCTTTCCCTGTATTATTGGAGATATGGTCCCTATAACAGATGCCAAAAATGTTTCTGAAGTCTCTCATCTCCATCGCCTTTATTTTCCTTTCAAATAATTTTGGTGCTGGGGGCTATATTTATTTTTGTCCTTCCATATTTTCTTGAGCCTCTTTGCTATGCGATAAATTAATAATTAGTGCTGTTGTAGTCTGTGCAATCCTGGACATCAGCTCGGGCTTGGAACCTTCTTCTGAGACTATAGCTCCTAGGTATTTGAAGCGGCCTACAGTCTCTAGTCTTTTCTCCCCGACCTTAATTTCAGTGGTGATGCCTGTGGTGTTGTCATCAGAGTTTTGTCTTTTCGGCACTGATTAGCATGCCATGACATATTAATTTATAGCATAGCAAATGCTTTGATAGCGCATTAAATAAAGAAGGAGTTACATATATCACTTACTTCTAACCATGATTATTAGTATGTTTTATTTATTTTAAATTGATTAATTCTCATATTAATCTGGATTAAATTCCAGAATGTACAATGTTGTCACAGACGCCAAAACATTTAAGAAGTTCCGGTTCCGGTGAACTTCCGTATTAAATTAAGAAACAAAATGGCGGGCCACACTGCAGGGGAACCCTTAGAATGCTATAGTGTAAGTTACGATAGTTCATTTTCACGTGATTGTTGCACAATGCCTTTCATTTTAAATATGTTGAGCTAATTATTTTATTTTTTAATTCTTTTCAAAAATGATAAGTACTTGAGTTCAATAAAAAATATGCTTTATGACTGCTTTATTATTCTTTATTAGGTCTTCTACACTACACTACTCCACTTACTTCTACTTGGGACTTTGACTTAGTCTATTTATTCTATCTAAATTAAATTTAATTATTATAAAATATAGTCTAAAAGTCTAATAAAATAACTTACAGGAGTAAGAGTGACTAAGACTGAACTTGCTCTAAAGAACTTTTTTCCAACTTTAACTTAATGAGATAATAATCTAATTTTTCTACAAATATACAATGTCAATGGGGGTCGCTTAGTCGATTGATTTGTCACGTGATGAGAGTAAAAATGAGTAAGACTTCCGGTAGGCTGTATACAACACACTAGTGCTTGACAACAGCAGCTCGTTACACACTGCAACTAGTAATTCAAGATGCCTAGGCAATCTTCAGCTATTGGCTGTTCAAACAGTCAAGTTAAGGACAGCGGTAAAAGTCTGCATAAGTTTCCGGTTAAGGATAAAGAAAATTTAAAACAATGGCTTGACAAAGTGGACATTCGTTAATTATTCACATGAAATCTTGTTCCAACCGGTTATTAAAATATTCCTTCGTCGCACCAATATTGAATAAACACGCAAATGACGTCATGGGTATGCCCACATTTCGTCCAATGAAAATTAACAATAAAATAAACAAATGGGAAAGACTCCTGCATAAATATTGAATAAACACACAAATGACGTCATGGGCACGCACGGAGCTCAACAACAGCCTGCCGATGATAGTATTGGTAGTTCCCATCGAATATCGCTCACAAATTTTTCTTGAAATAACTTTCTTCCTTTAATCATAACTCACGTATATTTATTGTCACATTTATATATTTCATTTAAAAACGTGTGTATTCCAGAATATTTTGAAAGGTAAAATTTTTAAGTAACATGACATTGGGGAAGCACTGATGAAGTATCTTTTGTTGTGTGTAGCAGCCTAGTGATGGCTTTTTCTCATCACGTGACCAAACAAGGAAGTGACTAAGGGACTCCCATTATACAATTCTGAGAAATAGTATAATAAATATTTATTGCTGGCATATGCATTATGACTAGCGCAAAGGATTTTCTCAATCAAAATACACAAATTAATTATAATGAAATAATACAGATATGTATTGATATAGTCTAAAATCCTGCCAAATTGACAAGCAGCGTGGGATATCAAATATCTAAAAGCTACTAAGACTTAACAATCTAAATCGATCAAAATAGGTACTCCGCCGAAGCAAAGCACACTCCTGGTAAATTTGTATCAGAAATGGGCGTCTGCGCATTAGAATCCAAGTTTTTAATTTTTCATGTGCATGTAATTTGAATAAATTTGGAGTCCTTTTGGCCTATAATTAATGTCTGACTCCGCCCATTAACGTTAGGAGAAATGTTGAACTACATTCCCATTGAGTTAATTTTTTCTTTATATCAACGTTATGTAAGGGAAATCGTATGTCAATATAAGGCATCTTCGCATTAAAAATAAATAATATTATAAATATTCAAAGTAGGTCTTTCATATTAAAAGTAGGCCTGCATAATTTGTTGAAGTACATGTGTGCAAAATTTCATTGAGATAGCTCATGAAACATTTTCACAATTCTCCTCAACGTTGACCTCATTATGCAAAGGTCGCACAGGCCATTTTGGATTAGTGATCCCGACTCCTTTTCAATGGCGGAAAACGCTGATACTTAGCTTAGGAAATATTCATTATTACCTCTATATACATCAAAATATTTGATAACTTGTGTTTCAGAATGCATTTTGAAGACATTTAAACTAGAATTTTTAAATTTGAGCTTTAAAAACCTGGTAGAGTCCATATTATTAACAATCAGAATTGATCGTGTGCAAAAAGTCATGGGAAACCATTCACAGTCATTTGCATAATGCTATGTTGTAGTACTACCTCAAGTTTCATTCAAGTTTGCCGTGTGCAAAAACTATTAACACCATTGGTCAGGGAAAGCTTTAGTTAATTAGTCATTTGAAAGTTCAAAATAAGTAGATCCCAAACAACATTTTAGGGGGTGTGTTGCCTTATATAGACAAATAGCATATACCTGTAAAAGGGACGCTGAAGATTTGGTAAACAGAAAAGCCATATATAAATACATTATTTTAAATTCATTGTTATGCAAAGTGCATAGTTAGATAAACTATAATTTATATATAATTGTATAACATTATTAAAACTATTTGTTAATACAGCATTAGTATTATCATTAAAACGATAGTTATAGAGCTCGTGATGCAAACAGCCGAATTGGGTCACAGAATCTGAAGATGCAGTCCATGTTAAAAAATGACAAACGAGGTCGTACTTTAAAAATTCATAACTTTAAAACTACAACAGCTAAAAATATGATTTTGGTGTTATAATTCTTTAAAAAATTAGCTCTATTCAACTATGCTATTGGTTTATTTTTACAAAAAGTTTTAATTTTCTAATCAAAGTACCTAATCAAAATCTGTGGCTAAGACTCACTAGGTATATTTCTGCCGGCTTTTCATTGCAAACAAGTGGTTCATAAGTGTGAGATTAGGAAGGGCGTAATTTCATTGTTATACAGCATATATCTAGGTGGGGAGCAATTTATCATTGACTGACTTCAATCATGAGGTTTGATCAATGCCAATGAAATAGCTTGTGCATCCTTATTCAAAATCTTGTGAAATTAACTTACCCTAGACAGGTGGGGGCAGACCTGCTTATCCCTAAACTCTTAAAATCGTACAATATTATCACAAAATCCTTCAATACATTAATCCTAATAGTAAAAAATAAACATTACAGTATTTATAATGTATACACATCAAAATCGTACATTGTGCGCCAAAATCGTAAGTGTAAACAGGTCTGTGGGGGTTACTGCGACACAATTTGTAATATGGCTCTATGGGCTTGGTGAGTTTGGCCAAGGACAACAATAGATTGGGAATAACTCATATTAACTCCAAAAAAAGTGGAGATTGCGTGTTCTATCAAGGAGTTTTTAATATATCACAGTATTAGATTAAGGTCTAGTCTGATTCCATCTCAGCCTGGTAAATTTAAAGAGTATCTTGTATGCTTAAAATGCCATAATCCCTTACTATGAGCTTTTCTGTCACTGTCACAGTGAATCCTTCACCCATGAGTCACTGACTTTTAAGTTTAATTGGTTATCCAGGAAGAATCATTGGTTTGAATGTTAGTCTTGGCCAGTTTCCTTGAAAAGAACTAAAAATTTTCTATTGATGTTTTTCTTTTTTAATCAGTTTATTTAAAGCAAACTTCATTATACTTTTTTTTCACACCCTTATGAACTAACAGTTACAACAGCTTTTAAACTTGTTATGTCATTTTCATCTTTGATTAAAAACTGAGTAAAAGCTGCATTTCTAGCCTTCTGTGAAATACTGTATTCATATCAGGACAAAAAGAGTGAAATTGTTTTTATTACCATTCTTTTAGATTCCAATAGTGTTAGAAAAAGAGCATGACATAGATCAGCATGGCAATCCCATGAGGGAACCTGATGGAAAGCCAAGATATCGTTGTGGATTTAGAATAGGTGGTGGTATTGATCAAGATCCATCTCAAAGTCCCCAAGGCTATCCAGATAAAGTAGGCAATTTACCTTTTTGCAGTCTGTACTTTCCACAACTTCTATTACAATTTGCACATATAACAAAATATTTTAAGTTTAAGATTTCGGAAGATGAACTTTAGGAATGTATAATAATAAAATTTAAAACTGCAATTAGTTTAAAACAGGTATTATAAAGCTGACTGTATAAGTGTGCAACACACACACAAGATTTATTAACATTCTTATTAAGTGCGACATTTTGCTTTATATTGTTTAAAAAAGTTTATGTAATTTGTTCAAGTGTCCATATTTTTTAATTAGTGTTAAAAATTGATGTTTCTTTTGGTGTTTCTTACTATAATTGTTTATCTCAAGGGTGTATATGTTACTTACATACATGATAACAGTCCGGCAGCCAGATGTGGGTTACAGCTTCATGATAAAATACTCCAGGTAATTAAATCTACTGATTTATCGATGCGGAAAAAAAATCTTCATTTTTGTTTCGGTTATCAAGGTTGCACTATGATCCCAACAACTTTTAAAATAATGAGTTGCAAATTTATGCAAACGATTATTAATGTAATGTCATTTTATTTGCCTTAATAAGTCAAAATGAATATAGTTAATTTGTTATAATGCCATTTACCTTATATAAATATAGGCCTACTTATTTTAGGACAGGGTGTTTGATATAATCTGTCACAAGGTAGTGGTATAATCTTTGACAACTGAGAATGCGTTGATCTTTTACCAGGTTAACGGTAAAGATTTCACTTTAGTCACACACAAGCAAGCCGTGGAGAGCATACGAAAGAAACCAGTACTTAAAATGCTAGTGTACAGGAAAGGAGTTCCTCCACTGCAGAAGCCTGGCAACCCAATGGCAGGACACACCCAGTTCCAGGCATATCCCCATCATGCACCACAGCAATATGCCACACAACAGCCACAGTTCCAGCCTCAATATTAAATAATCAAGCTTTTCCATGTGTAGTTGCAGGCATCTTTATTTTTAAAAAATCATAAAGTAAACTCTATTCCACTTGCCAATTTTACAAACTTAGCCCTAAAAGCATTAATTACATTTTAAACATTTAAAGCACTAGCTTGCATAGGGATTCACTGAAATTAATGCCTTTTAATCTGTGATATTCTTAGCCTAGGTTTAAATAAGGTTTCATTAAACGAAAAGGACTCTTGTCCATGGACTTCTTTTAAAGTAGTTCTTAACATTGCATCCAAATTATAAAAAGTGAGACTTGTAAAAACTTCATACCTAATTTGCTAAAATAATTTTGTAAGATGTGTACTTTTTAAGCTAATTAACAGTGATACTGAATTGATTCATAGTGAAGGTAAAGCTGACGCACTGTCACTTTAAAATTTTATGGAGAAATGAAATGTATTTCCAATCAGGGTGAGTAGACATGTATGAGGTACCGGTAAAGTTTTTTCTCATATATAAAAATCATAATTTGATGTATCTCAATTGAATCTAGTGACAAAAATTACATGTTATAGATTGCATATCATAAGATTTTAGTTAAAGTCTGGGATTTTTATAGCCTTCAATATCTTGATTGTAATGATGCATTACAATCTTTTGATTACTTCGTAATTGATCAATCATTACATGTTTTATGTCACAGAGGTGTTTTTCGTTCATGGCATAAATTTATATTGCTAAAGCTGTTGGATTCGATGTCGTTTTTATTCATTGAATCAGCTGTGTGTTCATCATTTGCATGTTTGATATAGATGTGTGAAGCATTTTTATGATGTAAACTTTTAAAGCTACAAGATTTGGGTATAGCATTATGAGTAGGAAATAAATTGGCAGTTGGTGAATGGTTCTAAAATTACATGAAGAAAATGTTTGGGTTTTTTTAAACACTTCCTGATGAAGTAAAATGTTTTAATGTTCAATATGTTGGCAATTGCAGAGCTTATACTTCATCAAAGAGGTGTTGTTTTTTTTTTTTTATTTGTTTATCTATGTTTTAAAAGATGAAATTGCAACTGATTTAACATTTTATCTCTCCGCTTGAGTCAACCATCCATAGCTTTTAAGAACCCATAACAATTTCTCAAAAGACTGACGCTGAAAGTATATTTTACTACTGAAATGAGATTCTTCCACATTTTGTTAAAATAATTTGAGTTAAAAGCCGTGGTGATCTCCTAAAAGCTGCTAAATAGACTCCACCATCCCATGAATAGGGTGGCTGCGAAATTTGAACATGCAAGCCTGTCTGTGCATAATTTTGTATAAGATCCGGTTATTAAGCTGTGCTTAGCACAGTTCAATTTGTTGTGTATGTTTTTATGATGGATATGATTTTAGAATGTATACTTGTGGCACATGTCTAGACTTTTTTATAAACTGATCAAAATGAACAAGTCCCCATTATCTCATTTACTTTCAAGTGATTTTTTAAATTTTTATTAATGATATACATTTTGATACTATAATACTATCCTCTAACGTAACCATCACATCATTCTGAAACTATTTCAGGCTAGTATTTAATTTTTATGCACATTTAAAATGGAAAATAACTTGTTGCTGGGGATAATCTGGGTGTCTTAGTTCATGTGTTTGGATGCAAATTAGCAATGGAGTTTTTAAATGGTGTAAGTATTTTTATGTGACTTGTGCTAAACTTCATTTTCAGGACCAATGAAAATTGGGAATTTTTTATTTTTTTTTAAATACACAATGTTTTGGTACAAATCTGTTCATTTTTTTAAATGGCTTATTACTGATTAGTTGCTAGGGTTTTGTTGTTTTTAATTCTTGATCTGTGCCCATAAAATATTTTTTAAAATTATATTTTAATTGAATGTATAATTTCTATGAAATATAATAGCTTTTAAAACAACTGGAGTGATTATACATAAAATGAACGCCATCTTCAGTAATCATATCTTTAAATTATTTTACCTTAAAATGCAGTTCGGTAATAACAGAGTCAAAGAGTTCATGTGCATATGTATGTTTATTGTTCCTATAATTGCTTGGTTTCAAATCGTATACAATCTACCTAAATCAAAACAAACAAACAAAACTCAAAGGTAATGCCTTGAGAAGGGTGATCATGGTGGGCAAGTCAGTGCCTTGGGCTTCAACTCCCAGACTGTGAATATATTGGTATTAATTATAGATCTGATACTTAATAAATATGTAATAATTTATTCATTTGTAATCCTGTGACAAACACAACTGGTCAATATTTTATTTCATCAATGGAGACAATAATAATTATCAGATGATATTTCTACAAACAAGATTATATTATAAGGAATGGCTCTTCTTTTTTGTGAGGTACTTTTCATTTTAAATATATTTTGTACCATCCAATGTAATCTTCTAAGTGAATTTTTTTTTCTGGCTAATTCTTGCTTGATTTTACAATTGTATATAGGTTGTGTTCTACAATGTATGAAAAGGAAGAAATATACATTTTAAACAAGTTATTAATATTGTGTTTTGTTTTGTTTAGCTGTACGTTGGCAATTTATTTTAATTTTAAATAAATGTGCCAGTGCCAATCAAAAAAATTATCCTGCCTTTCCCATTTCTGCATTTGGGACACGTCTTGTCTTTTGTAGCACTCTATCCTCTATTTTGATCTAGAAAATTAAATAATTTCAGTGGTTCCAAAGTAACTTTTTCTAATTTAAAAAAAAAATCTATATTCATAAATGAAAATAAAAGTGTGTTAATTTAATAAAAAAAACATTGCATTTGATTTAAAACACTGATATTTATTTCAGAATTTCAAGTTGATTTAAGAAGGATTATAAAATGCTTAAAATTAAAATAATGTGAACACTTATTACTTCATTATTAATTCATTTAATTTAATGACTGACATCAAGATACTATTAACCGGCAACCAGTTAAGAAACAATTTTAAGTATTTGAATTAAAATAAAGGTTCCTATTATTTTATATTAGAGAGTTTTAAGAGCCAAAAATCTGATCCACCAGGCTGGCTGAAAAACATTCTAAAGGAGAACATTTTATTCCTTTTTTAAAAAATAGCACTGTTATAAAATAAAACTATATAACATAAAGCATCAAAGAATGAGGGAAAAATCTTATCATTAGGGCTATTTACCTATCTATTATATTTAATTTTTTGTAACAGAAAATACGACAGAGTGATAAATAAATATTAATCTCCTTCATTTGGATATCTTAATTAATTAACGATGGTTAAATATTAACACTATCGGTAATGAGGAATTTGAACTTTTGTTTTATAAAAGTGAATCCCAAAGCTTCCGGAATAGCAAAAAATGTTGCATTGTTCAAGAATTAAAATCTATGGCAGATATATTCAAACTTGGTCATATCATTACAAATCTTTTTTTTAAAATTAATGTATTATTTTATTTAAAATAAACTTACCTGAAAGTTGAGAAATTTTAATCTGACTGCAACCAAGGAGAACTAAGTTAGGCTTTGCAGTGCTGACTAGTAAATTCACTCACTACCAGTGTCATGTCTATGTCTGTCAGATGACACTGTTAGCTTATTTAATCCACATGAAAAGCTTGAGACATAAATAGGCCAGTTTTTGAACTAATAAAAATGGTTAAACTTGAAAATGGATCCATATTCTGTTAATTACATGTGAATGGGTTTATCATTTAATTGCATGAGTAGCTAATTAATTACACCTGCTGATGCCATGTGGTTTTTGTATAGTACGGTTATTTATTTGGTTGGTGAGCTAACACTTGTTCCTGGAAGACAATCGTCATGGACTTTGTACTAACTTCTACAATGAAGGAGAAACTATTACTTGTCTGCATTTAGAGTTGGTTATAAACCATCAATTGCTTTTTTGTACTCCAGAAATACTTCCTGGTGAAACTGAAAATGATAAATGAGTTCACCATGATTTTTTTTAAAATAATGAAACATATAGCTATTATACTATTATAGTCTAGATCCATTTATTTGTATCGGAGGATCCCATTTAAAGAGAAAAAAATCCTAATCTTAGGGATGAATTATTATATTTGTTTTGAGCTGACAAGTATTTTTATTTTGAATTGAAACTCTGATGAGTTAAGTGTCTAGAAATGTAATTCCCTTTAATTTTTAGAATGTAGTTGGCATGCATCTGGAGACTATTGAAAGACATTGCTTACTTCCTGGTTGTGATCCTTCATGATTGTTTTGATAAAGTTTCCCCTGAACCATTGCTCACCACCGGCATTAATCATTTTTTTTAAAAGAAGACCTTATATTTTGATATTCACAGTCTGACATGATGATATTATTAACTGATGAAACAATACACTGTATTATAATGCTACAGCTTTTACCAGAAAATTTCAGTAAATAAAAAATTTGGGACCATGACTTAACCTGAAATGTAAGTTACTACAGAAAAATTAAGCTGCAGAGCTCTTATTTTTTTTATTTTCTTAATTTGAAGTTATTGATCTGCCTATCATCATGAATAAAAAATGGCTTGACAACTATGGGAAATCCTGTTAACATGCTTTGCAAGGCGATTTTTTCTAGAGCTGCGCAGAATTAGTCGTATCTAACAATTCTCTTGCTCTACCTTTCTTCCCTGAATCTCTCTGTCTGACCTCTAGCAAACACACATCCCTTTTATAATACCACACAATAACTCAGCCTACGCAAACGTTCCACACCATGGACTAACTTCACGCTCTGACCTCACGATCAACAACTCACAAAACACTCTCACGATTCACGACTCCCCCTACCCAACACTCACAACAAACTAGCTCACAACACGGACCTTTTTCAACATTTGATGCATCAAAGAGACTGATGTCCGCATTCGTTCTCTCACGCACAGACTATGGCAATGCTCTCATCGTAGGGCTTCAGGCTACACTCCTGGATAAAATTCAAAAAGCATTTGCGGCTCACATTGTTCTGCGCAAACGCAAATTTGATCATGCTAAAACACTTCTGAGAGAGCTGCATTGGCTGCCGGTCTGGACTTGAATAGGGTAAAAAATTGTAACTCTGTGCTACCGCTCATAATGCCTTAAGTACCCTCTAGATCACTCTGTTCATCCCATAGTGGCAAACTCTGTGGATACCGTACCTCGAGTCTGCCTTGAGACCTACCAAAGGCACACTTTCGCTTTTGATGGCACAAGAATCTGGAACACCCTTCCTGTCGCTCTTAGAAACATCCAGACACTGCAGTCTTTCAAAACTAAGTGGAAAACACATCTTTTTTGGAATCGCATGCTGGGGTGATGTAGTCTACCTCCTTGTTTCCAGCTTGCTCATATTCCTCGATGTAGATTTTTTATTGTTGTGTTTTTTATTTTATTTGGGTAAAAATATAAATTATCATATATGGTTGACTTTGTACAGTGCTTGGAGCCTTAACAAGGGATGAACCATGTTTTTTTAAAAATGAAATTCATTATTATTGTTATTGATAAATGTTGGTATTGGTATGCTTACTTTATTTCTAATCCGATGTAAGGAAGCAGTTCTTAACAGAAGTTAACTTGGGCTCATATTTCAATGATCAGTATTTTGGTGTTTGTGTTTATATTATGATGATGATGACAAAGGGGCAGATTTTAAAAGGAACAAAATCTTATGGCCTTCCTTAAAAGGAAACGATTGAGAAAACAACAAAATACTCCACAGGGTCCTTCCATGCTTTGGATGTCAATTATTTATTATATAATGTAATTTACATTTCACAGTTTTTCCACAATTAATTATTATAACATTATCTGACATGTATTGCAGTGATATTTAGCTCTTGGAAGTCACCATCAAAGATTATAATCTCACTTTTTATCATAGCTTTATAACATATTCACAAATATTTGAAATTTAAAAAGAAAAGTATGTCTATGGGTTTCTGCATTTAAAATAATTATTGAATGATATTGTTCAAGTTTAGGCATCTTAGAGCAAATATTTAATTGTGAAAGACCTCTGACTGTTATAATTTAGACTCTTAAATTCTTAATCTGAAAGTATTGGGGACCAACTCCTTGTCGGAATGACCAACCTAAGAAAAATGTGAAAGTTTAAAAATCACCTGGGCAATAGGTTTATTATTATAGAATTAACTTATTTGCCAGCAGATCTGATCTAATGACAAAGAAAAACTTGTCAAATACAGATTCAACTGGGAAGCTTAAAAGATAAATGAAGGTAAATTATATTTTGTGTCTTTTAGTCTTCTTGAGATGGCGAATATTGCTTAAACCTCCTGTTTGCTTGGTTGTGATGTCATATTCACATGTTATTTTTATTGCATCATTCAAAACAATAAAGTGTTTAAAAAGTAACCATTATTTTGTGATCTTTTTTTTTAAAGAAAAATCTTATTTAGTAATGAAATCTATGATAAGCTTTAGCTTTGCTAGTATTTGAGTAATTCAACAATTTCAGTTCTTCAATTACAAAGGCTCTAACTCAAAACAAAATAGACCTTCATTTTAAAAAATAAAAACAAATAGAAGACAAAATCAGAAATGTAATTTGGGGCATTTTTTGTTTATTTACAAGATATGACACCATAGCAAGGTATGTATAGACCGAACAGACAATATTTTTACATCTTTGTATTTATTTTGTAAATATAATTTTTATTTTTTTCACCTCAGTATATATCATTATATTCAAGTTAACAGAAGCCTTGATAAATATGAGTCTCTGTCATAATCTTTCAGAAAAATACAAGTAACTTATCAAATTAAATTCCTAATGATATCTGCTTTGAAATTTATTTAACCAAAAACTTTTAAATAGCTCAAATTTAACTATCAGGTTAAATTACATTTAAATTTGTAAAATATGATACTGATCTGACAGGTATTCTGATGCCTCATGTGTGTATCAATTTACTTTAAATAAAATTAAACAAAAGGTATTTGTTCAGCCTATATACAAAAAAATTAGCAAACACAAATTGCTTTTTTACATTTTATTAAATATTTGTGTCAATAATTATGTGATGAAGTCAAATAGTATTTTATAGATTCCTATGAAAAAAATATATAATTTAAAATATACTTTCTTAAGCCCCAGGAGTTAATGAATTGGGAAAACAATTTTTGATGAACACACTAGCCTTGGAAAAACTTTTTTTTAAAATTATGACAATGTATTTTATATTAAATTATACCAAAAACATGGGATCAAGTTAGGTTTAAAAATAATTACACTCCTTGGTTTATAATCTAATATTAATAAGATACATGCATTGTTATTTCTCCAAAGTTGGCTGTGAAAGGAGAATAATAATACAGCTACACTGCTGTTTCTTTGAAAGATATTTTACTTATTGTATTGGTTTTTAAATATTGGGGGATTTATTAATTATTAATATTTTTATTTCTTTTACGTCTCTTAAAAAATACTGATGAAAATCACAGGCTTGATCATAGAATGATTGATAACATAAATGATTTTTAAAATTCATTAAGTGTGATCTGACACTT